CTGGTGAGACCCTACAGAGCCCTGTGTTATTCAGGGCTCTGTGGGGTCTCACCAGGGCTCTTTGGGGGTCCTACTGGGGCTCTGTGGGGTCTCACCAGCCTGGTTAAACCCCACAGAACCCTGGGGAGACCCCACAGAGCCCTGGTGAGACCCCACAGGCCTGAGCGGGGGGCCTCATGTTTAGGTTTCGCCTAAGGCCTCGCAAACTCTAGAGCCGCCTCTGGGTCTAAACACCTGGTCAGCAGAATGTAGGATCTAGATAGGACCTTAGACACAAATAGTCATTCTACATCCAAAGAACGAAAGAGCAGTTAATGTTCCGTATCTTCTTGCTCATGACACTTTCCTCGGTTGCGTGGAGAAAAGGAGTTCTATATTATATTCTCCAAATGATCCCGGGGTGTCTCCAGCAAAAGCCCAATCCTCTCCTTTGCTCTCCAATTCCCTGGTGTGTCCGTGGATAAGCTGACCACACACAGCTCCCTCTGTTTAACCTTCTCTCCACCACGATTTCTGGCAGTGCACACTCAGAGGTGTCCCAAGGGAAAGGAGAGGGAAAAAAGGAGAAAGCCTTCTAAGTGCATCAAAAGAGTAATATATATACATTTGTTTATGATCACTAACCTAGACCACTGAATAGCCAGGTGTTTTGGGGGCTAAGGTAGTGGTGTAGGTGTTTTGGGGGCTAAGGTAGTGGTGTAGGTGTTTTGGGGGCTAAGGTAGTGGTGTAGGTGTTTGGAAGTTGAGGTGCTTGAAAAAATAGTCTTTTGAATAGTCATATAATAACTGACAGGTTCTCTTCAGTAAAAAAAAATGTCTCCAATGTAGTAAATCTTCCTTCTTCCCCCTGCAGAAAGAGCGAATTCTAACGGAGCTCAAGGCGACGATGGACAATGAGCCGGCCAGTGCAGGGGGTAAGTGTCCCTCATGTGATGAAGATAGGGATAGTGGGTAAGTGTCCCTCATGTGATGATGATAGTGATAGTGGGTAAGTGTCCCTCAGTGATGAAGATAGGGATAGTGGGTAAGGGTCCCTCGTGTAATGGTGATAGTGACATATTTCTCTGTACCATGATGGATGTGGATCTTCTGAATGAATATGATATTGCAGGTCAGAATTTACTGATCTTTCTCTTCTCTGATTGGTCAGATGGCGAGCGTGGGATTCAGCTTCACTTCTCCTTCTCTCCTCCCGTCTTCTCCGTCCTCCTCAAACATCTCCGGAATATTGTAAGTCCCTCCCCCGAAAAATGGTAAAACCCTTTGTAGTTATCGGCCAGTCTTATGGTTCCCACGGCCAGTAAGGATACCATCCTGTTATCTGATTGGATGGGTTGGTCAATCCTGGAATCTGTGTCATGATGAAGTCCCACTCTCTGTATTTTCAGCATTTATTGGATGGCTCCGCCCCCAGCGCCAGCGTCACCATCTCCCTCCATTGCCAGAACATGGAGATATCCAGAGAGGAGGTCAAATCTCCGGCCAGATCTCCGGCTCCTACCTTCAACAAGCTGGTGAGTACAATGACGGAGCCTGCCGAGTGTGTACGGCTCCCCTCTATATACTCTTATTCTGGATCTACGGATTGATTGCGTCTCTGTTGCCGTGGCAGGTGCAGTTCTCGGTGGGCCATTTGGCTGGTCATGTGATGAAGTTCCAGGTGAAGAGTAAAGGGTCCTTCCTGGGGGAGCTGAGCGTATCATTGAGCACCGTCCCACTAAACAAGGACGTCTGGTATCGCCTGGGAGGATGACCCAACACATGAGCGGATTGTGGACTCCGGGGGAGAGATCTGCGCTGGCCTCCTCTGTGTGTTATTATTATATTTATATGATCCGGCTCATGACTGGATGGCTTCCATTTCCACGGCGTGATGACGATCAGATGGGGTTGGCATGATGGCACCATTCTTGTGCGCAAAACTCTAGATTGTGATGGACACGTCAGAGTATTAAAGGGTCACTCCACTGAGCATCCGGCGGTGCAGCCCTTTAAGAATGGGCCGTTTCAGCTCCGGCCAGAAGGATGTTGGGGCTGCTTTCCTTATACAGAAATATTCACTGCTGTTGTAGGCGGACCTAGGGGGAGTCATGTGACGAAGCTCAGCGAATTATAGGAGATTCAGATCAGATGTGCGAGCGCCTATATACGCCTATACTTCGGGCACAGGACACGGCTCCGGAATATTCATATCATGTACTGACCACAGAGTGCTTTGTGGAGACAGTTCTGGATGTGATTTATCATTGAAGAAATAAATTATTATTTATTGGTGATTGGAGATCTGTGTCACATGTCCCCCTCCACCCAGGAGGAGGAGCTAGAGGAGAATACAGAGTGCACAACGTGAGCGTGGAAAAGGGGAGCTCCCCGCTCCAGTGTTGCACTTCGAATTCTCCTCTAGCTCCTCCTTCTTTTTTTACCAAATACAGAACCTCTGCTATAAGAGGAATGCGGAGGTGAGATTTAGGCTAACATGCCGCCATTTTGGGAACACAATGACATCAATGGGTTTGGAGAAATTAAAGTGGTGTTGGTGGCGTTTAAGGGAACAATGAGCATTTAAATGTCTCCCGAGGGTTCCAGAAGCCCCCCTCACCTATCCTGGACCTGTTCTTTTACCTCATTATTTTATGGATGTTTTCTTTATTACAGTAAGGCCACAATCAAACGTTCTATAATCCGCCATAGTGCGGCAGGTATACTGCAGATATTTGCGGCCAGGATTCTGGGTATTCCAATCAGAGACAGGCGCTCAATGGCAGGCTGGAAGGAGTCGGGGCTGTGGGCGGAGTTGAGAATGTATTTGTACATCCAAGGGTTACCTGTGGTTAGGGTCAGACGTGCAGCCCAGGAGCTGCACCAGGGTGGGTGTCACCGGATGCGGCCGCCGTGCATGCGTTATGACATCCGTGGTGTGATGTCCACACATGAGCGGTGATGTACTTTATTGCCGATGGCCAAATTGGTGATGGTTGCCAGCAGAGAGAAGAGGGTATATTGACCCGGCACAATAATGTATGCCGCTTGGTCCGTCCCCCCCTCTCGTAATGCTATTGGGTTCTACTTGACTATAGTGACTGTGTAGAGACTATACTGTGAGTCATTTTGGTGTTGCCCCCCTCTGACAGTGTCACCTGGTCCGAGCCGCACCCCCCTTGTGATGCCACTGGTTCTGTGATCAGGGTCAGACCTCTGTGCCTAACCACAGTGAACCCTTGGATGTGCGGACACATACTTAAATCTGCCAACAGCCCCACCTACTTTCAGCCTATCGCTGGGCGTCCATCACTGATTTGAACACCAAGAATCCTGGCCACAGGTGTTCTCCTTTTAAACCAGTGAATAGTACGATGCGTTCTCCCTCCTCTGGGAACGTGTCATCTCTTATCAGGACCATTTTATAGTTCGATATTTCTAGTAACCCCCCTTACCCTCCCTTAGGACGCCGCTTCATCTGCTCTCATTGTCCTTTGTTTATGTCAGGGCAAAATAAATGTTTTTGCAAAATTGAGTCTCAACATACTCAATTGAATGAGTCCCACTTGGCTACCAATGTTACAATACAACCAACCAAGAAAACTACATGCTTCCATATGTTTTGTCTCTTTAAATATGCTGCAAATTCAGAAACATACCTGGTAACCTGCCATAAATCCAGCAAGCTCCTAACTTCCTGTAGTGAGCTGACAACTCTGCCTTGGCAGCACTCAAATCCAAAGCAGTGTTGTCAGCCCTGTCCGGTTCTCCTCTGCTGGATTACAGAAGAACACCTCCGCCACCCTCATCTTCACATCCACTGCCCCCTCCGCATCTGCATAATGTAAGGGTTGGTGTACAGTAGTCCAGAAGGGAGAACTGGGTAGGCCTAAGAATACTGCTTGAGATTGCAGTGCAGTGCATGTTTCCGCGCATATTTCCTGACAATAAACATTCTGTCATTCAAAAAACAAAGTATGAGAACAATAAATACCATTTGCCAATCTTCAGGTGAGAGTTTCGGTATTTTATCAGCAATAATGACAATGATTTTTTTGCTCATGGGGGAATTATTTTCCTGTGCACACCTGACTGCCTGTGCAACCTCTGATAAGCCCCCAATAGCCCATAATGGCTGATAACAGGGGGCAGATACAATGAGAATCTCCCCGTCTTCCATCCTCTGTCTTCGGACCGGATTCCAGTTTAGCAGTCGGGTTCTGCGCCGTGTCCGAGGCCTGTTTGTTGTGCGTGATGATTCATGTTTACAGAACACAACAGACTGTCGCCCTCAGTCGCTGGATTCTGGAACGCTCAGCCGTGAGGAATTATTGCGGCATATAAACTAATTAGCACTAATTAGAGACGATTCCTCTGCTTGTCATGAGCCAGCGTGCTGGCAGAGCGAGCGGCACACATATTGTACAGTCGCTGACCTGAATTAAACGTCTCGGAGTGAAAGTGCCGCGTCAGCCATCAGCGGCCAGAGCTCTCCGCTGAGGATCATTTCAAACTGCTGGAGACAATTCCAAACCATTAAGGACAATTGGAGCCACCGAGGACCATTCCAAGCCATCGAGGATGATTCCAGGCCATTGAGGACCATTCCAAGACGATGCCAAGCCACAGAAGGTGACTTCAAACCATCAAAGAATGTTTGCAAGCCACGGAGGATAATGCTGAGCTCCTGAGGCCAATTCCAAACCACGAGGACAATTGTGAACTACCAAGGATGATTCTTAAATAAAGGAAAATTCGGAACCACTCAGGGCAATTCTAAGCCACTGAGGGCAATTTTGATCCAATGGGGATTATTTTGAGCCACCAAGGACAATTATTAACAACTGAGGGCAATTTATATCCCTAAGGACAATTCTGAACCACCAAGGATGATTCTTAAACCACGGATGATTCAGAACCACTTTGGACAATTCTGAGCTACTGTGAATGATTCTGAGCCACCAAGAACATTTCTGAGCCATTGAGGACAATTCTAAACCACCAAGGACAATTCTGAGCCACTGAGGACAATTATGAACTGCCCAGAATGATTCCTAAACAAATGATGACACTGAGCCACTGAGGACAATTCTGAGCCACTGTGGATGATTCTGAGCCACCAAGAACCATTCTGAGCTACTGAGGACAATTCTGAGCCACCAATGACAATTATGAGCCACTGAGGTCAATTTCAGTCCCTAAAGACAATTCTAAACCACCAAGGACAATTCTGAGGCACTGAGAACAATTATGAACTGCCCAGAATGGGTTCTAAACAAAGGATGATCCTGAGCCACTAAGAACGATTCTGAGCTACTAAGGACAATTCTGCACCTCAGAGGACAATGTCGAGCTACTGTTCCGAACCACCAAGGACAATTTTTAACTACCAACCATGATTCCATGATTCCTTAACAAAGGACAATTCTGAGCCACCAAGGACCATTCTAAGCTCCAAAGTACAATCCTGAACTACCAAGGGTGAATGCTTAACAAAGAACGATCCTGAGCAACTGAGGACCATACTGAGGCACAAAGTATAATTCCTAAACAAAGGACGATTCTGAGATTCTGAGGACAATTCTAAGCCACCGAGAACAATTCCGGACCACTGAGGATGACGCTGAGCCCCAAAAGACACTCCAAGCTGCCGAGGACAATGCTAATTCTGAAGTACAATTCTGGACTGTCAAGAATATTTCCTAAACAAATTACGATTCTGAGGCACCGAGGACGATTCTGGGCCACAGAGGAAAATTCTGAGCCACTAAGGACGATTCTGGGCCACAGAGGAAAATTCTGAGCCACTAAGGACGATTCTGAGCCACTAAGGACGATTCTGAGCCACTAAGGACAATTCTGAGCCACTAAGGACGATTCTAAGCCACTAAGGACGATTCTAAGCCACGAAGGACAATTCTAAGCATCGATGTACAATTATGAACTACCAAGGATGATTCCTAAACTAACATTGAACCTGAGCTGCTGAGGGTGATACTGAGCCGCTGGGGAGAATTCTGGACCACGGAAGATGATACCAGGCCACAATTCAGAGCCACCAAGGACAATTTTGAACTACCGAGTATGATTCCTAAATATAGGACGATTCGGAGCTGCGGAGGTCCTTGCCAACCCAAGGATGATTCGAAGCCACCGAGGACAATTCTGAGACATCAAGGATGGTTCTGAGCCACCAGGGAATGTCCCAGCTACAGAAGAAAAGAAGCAAATTCTAGAGAGGAGAATGGCGTGATTGGCAATCTCAGGTCACGTGACACAAACATGCATGACCAATTGCCATAACAATGCACTACTACAATGCTTCCCGAAAATCACTGCAACATATAGTGATGCCATCTTCCTTCTCTGCCACATTATTAAAGTGGAACTTCAGACAAACTTCTAAACACGTGGGTGAAATACACTTCAAGCTGAACTCCAAGATAAGCCAATATTGTCCTCATATACTGTGAGACTTGGAGCTTCCTGTAATAAAGACCGGTCACTGCTGCTCTCTCTCCTTGTGCAGGGTAACTGGTCTTGTAACTGGTCTTGTCTCCGCCCCCTCCTGTAGTTTTCTACAACCAGCCTGTAGTGGTGGGGGCTGCTGGGTTCCTCCCACAGATCTGCAGTCTGCATAGACTATGTGTAGCACAGTGATTTCAACGCTGCTTTTACAAGGTAATATTTGGCTTTAATCCTGAACTCTATGTGTCAGCTGTCTGGCTGGGCAGTGTGGAATATGTGTGTAAAGCAAAGGACTGTCTGTACAGCGTATTGTGTCGGTAAGAGTGAGAATGCAGTGAGCCGCAGTGCATGTGTTTTTGCAGCGCAATGCATCATAATCCCTGCTCCCCATTACACAATAAGAGGGGTCCCCTTCAGATCAAAGGATAAAGGCAAGAAGACCACTCTCTATAATGGGCTTCTTTACCAGTTGACAATCACTGGGATACAACACAGGAAATAATAGATGCAGTTCATCATTTATTGGAAGGAGGATTTTGAGGAGGCAAAGCTCGTACTTTCGGATACAGAGGGATCTGTATAGTAGACGTGGACAAACAGCGAGGCAGGCAGGATCTTCTGACCGTGTCTGTTCAGCAGTGGGATGTGACGATATCCTGAAATGAAAAGTGTCACCTTCAGTCTCATCATAGAATTAAGAATGACAAATCTTGAAAATGAGGATAAGTAATGACAGAATTATAGTACAGTGGAAGGGGGGGGGGGGTTTTGGAGTCATTAGTAATGTCCAGACCAGTGCAATCCCAATATCCAACTCATATCCAACTCATTAGATGAATTTAATCCTCAGCGCTTCCCCCTAGACGGTCATTACTGCGGGGGTGCCATAAGCCGGCGGTGTGCACAGCAACAATAAGTGCTAAGTGTGTGAGCGGAGTATCACCTTTATTAATGCAGCGCAGAGGTAGAGTGTACTGGCCCATAAAATCCTTCCCAATCACTGGGATGTGGTCGTCCAAGCAGAACCGAACCATCGCCACCTCAGGGACCTTGATGGAGAACTCTAAAGTCTTGTTCCACTGAGGGTTAAAAGCTGCAGAGACAAACACAGCATGTCAGTGTACATATATATATATATATACAGTATATCATTATACATTTCTATAGCTCTGACATATTCCATAGTGCTGTACAGAGAACACTGAGTCAGTCAAATCAGTCTCTGTGCCAGAGGAGCTCACACTCTAATGTCCCACCACAGTCCCATAACTCAGATATATTCCACAGTGCTGTACAGGGAACACTGAGCCATTCACATCAGTCTCTCTGTACCAGAGGAGCTCACACTCTATATTGTCTGTATTCCAGAATCCTGCAGCACTCCTTACCGGGTATCCCTGCCAGCGGGGTGCTCGATGTGACCGCGGAGGGCGCCGCCAATACTGGAACATGTTAAAGATGTCACCAGCACACCATATTGAAGTGAAGAACACGTCTGTTTATTGACGCATCATGTCAAAACAAAGAGCAATGTTTTGGGGCCACACAGGGTCCCCTTCATCAGGCTTGAAATTAGGAAATGGTCATTTCAAGCCTGATGAAGGGGACCCTGTGTGGCCCCGAAATGTTGCTCTTTGTTTTGACATGAAGCGTCAATAAACAGACGTGTTCTTCGCTTCAATATGGTGTGCTGGTGACATCTTTAACAAGTTACACTCTAATGTCCCCACCACACTCGCACACTATTAATAAAATACATTTACTGTATATAGCTCAAACATGTTCCACAGTGTTGTACAGAAAACACTGAGTAAGTCACATCAGTCTCTGTACCAGGGGAGCTCACACTCTAATGTCTCCCCCACAGTCACATACTCCTTGTATTATTGATTATCTATTGATTACCTGTGCTGAGCTCTCTACATTCTACGTATGTAGAGAGCACATAGAGGTATGTAAGGACATAAACAACATCTAACCGTTATTTCTCTGGACCTGGGTCTTCTTGCTGCATCGGTCGTCTGGAACTCCATAGATGTCCACAGTCACAATTGGGTTGGCTGTGTTGCTTTTAGAAAATTTGCTTGGTGGAAGAAGAAAGCCGCTGATTACCTGTAATATATGAAATGACTAGATGACCACAAAGCGCTGCCAACAAGAAACCAAAGGTGACCAGAACGTTCTGCTGACCGAAGACCAAAGGTAACCAGAAGATTGACCAGAGACTATAGATCACAAGCAATCACAGGCAACCAAGGAGCATTGCTAAACAGTGGAGACCAGGAGCTCTGGTGATTAAAGTCCATCACCTTAATCTGGAGGAAGAATGGCCGTTTGTGATGGGGAGGATGGTTTGGATCAAAAGTCCAATCTGAATTACACAGGAATTCTGGCTTTAGAACATATCCACATCCGCCATTATCCTGGAACCTCCCATCTTGCAGATCCATTTGGACTCCTGGAGTCTGAAAGTTCAATGCCACTGAAAGAGAGAGAAAGAGAAGGAGTGAGGAAAGGAAAGTAAGAACATTGGGGGGAAAGGTGAGGAAAAGAGAGGGAAATCAGAAATAAGCACATTAGGAGAATGTGTGATAGATTATTGAGTGCTCCCAGAGGAAGGGACAGTGACACACTGATATTCTCTAGACACCGAGGATGTCCACAACATATGACCCCAGAGTCTTCAGCATCTTCCTCTGAATGTCAGGAGATTTGTACATTGTCTGTTACACTGCCCCCCCTATTCCCCCCATAAACCCCCCACCCTCAACTCACAAACACCACAAGACAAACATACTGTATGTGACACTCACCCATCTGAGCGCCGACATTCCAGAATTCCTGAGGCTGGAGGTTGGAGGAGGAAGTCCGGGATCCCTTGGGGTAGATTCTGGTTAGGAAATTCATGGTGTGATGGATAAATTCCAGAGCTAGGTAGAAAGTAGAGTTATTATGGGTGGAGGTAACATTGAAGTGAACTTGTCATACAGGGGTGACACTGAGTCTTCATAGAAAGAATGTGAGGGTGAAATGTTTGCACTCTTCGTCAGCCAGCTGTCCTGCTCCATTCGACCTGCACTGGCGTTGGATAAGGGGAGTCCTTTCTAAATACACACAGCGAGAAAAACCTATAACTGGGCCACATTCACCGCACACGGCACAGAAACATCTGGACTATGATGTGATCTTTATCTGTCTTATTTTTCTCCATATTTCACGGTAACATTAGAGATACCTATTGTGTGTTTTATTTATTATCTATTATGTTATTGTAACTAAATTGTAATCATTTTCTTATCACTATGAACAATAGACAACACTGCCTTACCGCTCCATATCCCACAGCTCTCTCCAGTGTCCATATCTTTACACACTCCGCTCCCCTATGTCACCTCTCTCTCTCTCCAGTGTCCATATCTTTACACACTCCGCTCCCCTATGTCACCTCTCTCTCTCTCCAGTGTCCATATCTTTACATACACTCCACTCCCCTATGCCACCTCTCTCTCCAGTGTCCATATCTTTACATACACTCCGCTCCCCTATGTCACCTCTCTCTCCAGTGTCCATATCTTTACACACTCCGCTCCCCTATGTCACCTCTCTCTCTCTCCAGTGTCCATATCTTTACATACACTCCACTCCCCTATGTCACTTCTCTCTCTCTCTCTCCAGTGTCCATATCTTTACACACTCCGCTCCCCTATGTCCCCTCTCTCTCTCTCGCCAGTGTCCATATCTTTACACCCTCCGCTCCCCTATGTCCCCTCTCTCTCTCTCGCCAGTGTCCATATCTTTACATACACTCCACTCCCCTATGTCACCTCTCTCTACAGTGTCCATATCTTTACACACTCCACTCCCATATGTCACCTCTCTCTCTCTCTCCAGTGTCCATATCTTTACATACACTCCACTCCCATATGTCACAGCTCTCTCTCTCCAGTGTCCATATCTTTACACACACTCCACTCCCCTATGTCACCTCTCTCTCTCTCTCTCGTGTGTCTATATCTTTACACACACTCCACTTCCCTATGTCACCTCTCCAGTGTCCATATCTTTACACACATATCTTTACACACACTCCACTCCCCTATGTCACCTCTCTCTCTCTCTCTCCAGTGTCCATATCTTTACACACACTCCACTTCCCTATGTCACCTCTCCAGTGTCCATATCTTTACACACACTCCACTTCCCTATGTCACCTCTCTCTCTCTCTCTCTCTAGTGTCCATATCTTTACACACACTCCACTCCCATATGTCACAGCTCTCTCTCCAGTGTCCATATTGTGGCAGTGCATGGCAATGCCGCGGCGTAGTATGGCAACATTGGCACCCAGGACTCTCAGCCAAAGGGGCTGAGAGGATCCAGAATATAAACAATGTTTTAAGGAAGAGCCTGGCTTTTCAGGTTCTTCCAGGTTTTCCTAAATGTAGCTGGGATCTGGAGCTCTGGAGATTTCGTAGAGCTCTGGGTGGGATGAGATCTCCAGTCCTGGGGCCAGGTGTTACCAATGACCAGCTTGGGCTGATCAAGTGGCTGAGAGCAGCCTTATTAGAAGCCAGCCCAGTGCTCAGAGTGGAGTGTTGGAGTTGTGTGTGTGCAGGAAGCACACAGACGCAGACTCAGGTGCGTGCTGGACACGTGGGACAGCCAGGGAAGGCTGGGAGAGGTCGGGAAGGTCGGTGACCCTAGGACTTGTGGTGCACACTGCTAAGAGAGCAGATTGAGGGCTCACGAGGGGTGAGCAGCGTGAGTGTCTTGGAGCTGTGGAAAGCTACAGAGCGAAGCTAAAAGACTGTCCTTTATGTTGCGGCTAGAAACCGTCTTGTGCACAGGGGAGGTCTACCCTGTGGATGGAAAGATACTTTTTTGGTGTTTGCCCTAAATCAACTGCATTTTACTTGCACCTCCTGTCTACAGTGGGGTGTCCTTGTTACAATATCCTTACATACACTCAGCTCCTATATGTCACAGCTCTCTCTCCAGTGTCCATATCTTTACACACACTCCACTCCCCTATATCACCTCTCTCTCTCTCTCTCTCCAGTGTCCATATCTTTACATACACTCTGCTCCCCTATGTTACAGCTCTTTCTTCACTGCCTGGAGGAGCTTTTCTTCCGCAATCAGCCTCCACTCTGTCTCCACCTGTAATCAGGTTTAGTGAGACGTCACACTTATTCATATATTGGGCAGTAATGAAAATCATTCAGAGGTTAAGAACCATTCAGCCCATAGTTAACCAGTTCAGTTCTGGAACCTATAGCAATAATAGAAGTTATGCATCACCCCAGGATTTTCTGTAGGAGCGGATGGGGGGCAGCACAGGCTTTGCTGGAGTCACTTCATTATAACCTACGTTTCCATTTTGTAACACAAGAGCTGGAACTGCAGAGAGCCAAATCCAGATTGGACCGGCAGTTTGCCAGAATCTCTGCCACTGAGCTGCCATGAAAATGTAATTCCATTTATTTTATGCCTGGAGTCTGCCATGACCCAAAATCCAAGTGTGCATCATGTGTAAAATATTCACAAAAACCCGAAAATGCAGAAGTATCGATCGACAAAACAGAACAAATCAATGAACAGAGGATGGTTGTCAGGGGCTGTATCTCTCCCTTGAGTACCTGAGTGTCGGGCTAGCTGCTGCGCCTCTCTCTCCATTATCGAATTATTTTCACAGAACTTCTGTGCGTATTGGGAATGCTGGAAACTGACAAATTTCTTCGATTTGGTGTAGATGACAAGATCCAACAGCTCTGGCGCAATTTGTGGGTACTTCCCCTGCCATGGCAAAAAACAAATCAATCAATTACTGATATTGATTCGTGATTGTAAATTACCAGAAGTTACACTTCTGTAGGTAACCGCGAGGGATTACAAGACGCCAGTCAGTGTGCAGCATTGAGTACAAAGAGCTCATCTTGGGTTCAATGTCTATTTGGACATGGGGATATAAGGCGACCTACTCCAGTGCTCTTCTGACCTATGACGGGTCACAGAATGGCATTGTGGGTAGGCTGAAAGAGCAGGGGGAGGGGCTTAGTGGGAGATTATTCATAATTACTATACTTTGTAGCCAAATTGAGTCTAAACAGACAGATATTCCTCCAAGATGAACGAGATGAGAGAAGACAGATCTTCACCTGGTGTAACCTCTCACCCCGGTTCTGTCAACAGCACCCTGCCTTGGCCGGGGTTCTAAGCTGGTGCCAGAAGCTTAATACTGAACACTCACCATACTCCTCTCGCAAATGTATTTTTAAATGCAGATTTTTTTAATTTTAATATTTTAAAATAATCTCAGTTGTAGGAATCTCCTTCCAGGCATTCTCAGGGTTATTCGCAAAAGGGTAGAGTTTGGAGAAGGCAGGAGAAGTAACCGATCTAGGCCAAAATAGCCGATTTGCAAAGGGAACTGAATTGGAGAATTTTTCCAAATCAGCTATGTTGGCCTAGATTGTTCACTTCTCCTGCCTTCTCCAAACTCTACCCTTTTGCGAATAACCCTGAGAATGCCTGGAAGGAGATTCCTACAACTGAGCTGTTCCTGTTCCTGTGAATAACCCTGTCTGTCTCTGATTGAAGGGGGGAGTCAATGCTGTGGAGCCATTGTCTGACTCATTCACTTGTCTGTGCAGCTACTGAGCTCTATACACAACAGAATCTAAGGGGAGCCTGGAAAACACGTGAAAGGGAGCCAAGAGCTCCACCTGCTGGGTAGATATGAGAATAATCTTCCAAAGTATTATTTTTTTTATAATTACCCAACCTAAAAAAGAGGAAGAATAATATTTTAAAACATGTTATTTCCTAATTCTGAACAGCTTCCTATATATCAGGGGCGCCCACAATTATTCGTCTGGAGATCTACTTTTCAAATGACGAGCTCAATGAGATCTACCAACGAAAAAACATCTGCATTCAGGGGCAGGAGGGGGTGACGTCAATGGCACCGCAGCCAGGCCCCTTGCCCACAGTGCGATCGCCCGCACCCGGAACCCAGGCACATTAGTGCCTGCGTTCCAGTCCAGTGCGATCCGCAAAAATGCTGCAAGCACTATGTTTGCAGATTGCACTGGACTGGAATGCAGGCACTGTTGCCTGCGTTCTGGGTGCGGGCGAGCCGCAATATGATCCAATGCGTTCTGGACACAATAGGACTGGAACGCACTGAGGATGGTGTGAATGAAGCATTAGAAATCTTAACTGCGCTGCGCAGCCCCATAACTATACTATCAGCTCCCACTCAAGCCAATAGCCTACCTGCTTCTGGCTCTTCAGGTGTAGTAACAACGTGCAGACTGGGTCCAGTGGCGGCGTGCTTTACACATCGGCATCCCACGCTTTGCATTGCACTTGGTGATGTAAGGCTTGGATGCAGCTGCTCGGCCATGGAAACCCATTGCATGATGCGCTCTACGCACTGTTGTTGTGCCAATGTGAAGGCCACACGGAGTTTGGAGGTCTGTAGCTATTGACTCTGCAGACATTTGGCGATTTCGTGGGTTTTCATGAGCTGTAAGCCATAATCATCACAATTATGACAAATCACGGCTTGAACTATCTTGCTTTGCATGTAATGAGTCTCTCTCATATATTAGTTTCACCTTTTAAGTTGCATTAGTGAAAAAAATGAACTTTGCACGATATTCTAATTATTCGAGTTTCACCTGTATATATACAGTATATGTGTATCATGTGCCATGTCGCTGCTGTGGGGACCCCGCGCATAATTCAGTGCACTAATAATCCTCAGAATGTATATAATTCATCTCTGTGAATAATTAAAAGCACGGGTGACCTTGATATTAATAAGTGTCACCTTCCAAGGATGAGGCCTCTCACAGTCGGGCACAGATCCCCAGGATGACCCCCCTATATAATCGCTCACAAACTGATTACGTTTGAGAAGAAAGTGTAATTTTTAACATCCCAATCAGCCTTTGCTGCGTTTATCGCGGAAGGAATTAAACTGCCAGAATGATGAAGAGGCTCCGCGCGGCTCGTGGCGGCTCTAAGCTGTTTATTGTTGAATGCAAACACACATTAATATGACGGGAGCCCAGAAATTATATTCAATTACCGGATTATCCGGACGAGGAGCGAGAGGCGGCGGAGGAACAGAAATGGAGATTTGATTAGAATTTGCGAATATATTTCGCCTCGCGGTTACTATGGGAACTTGTTGGGAACTTGTAGATTATGAGGAACACTCCCCAAGTCATTCCTACAAGAGGAGAAGAGTGAGGACTGTTTGAAGTGTGTGGGACAAGGATATCACTGGGGGATACACAGGGAATGTATCCTGAAGGTGATGACAACCTGAGATCTCTTGTTATAGCCGTAGCCCTTGGGATGTCGGGGAATTCAGCTGCAGAGATTTCATAAATGACAGTATGTTATGAATGGGAAGATTGGATCTGTTTTTGACACAGAATGTGATGGCCTACATGGAGTGTCCCTTAAAATGACCACCCTGCCAACCTAACACTAATCCTCTCTGTAACCTTCACACTGACCTGCCCTGTAATCCTAAAACTAACCTTCCCTGTGACCCTAACACTAAACTTTCCAGTACCTATCACACTAAACTTCGCTTTTACCCATACACTGACCCTCCCTGTAACACTAACTCCCATGTAACCCTTACACTGACCTTCCTTGTAGCCCTAACACCAATCATCCCATGTGACCCTTACACTGACCCTCCTTGTAGCCCTAACACCAATCCTTCCTGTGACCCTTACATTTACCATCCTAGTAACCCTAACACTAATCCTCCCTGTGACCCTCACCATAACCTTCTGTGTGACCCTTACACTGACCTTCCTAGTAACCCTAACACTAACCATCCCTGTGACCCTCACCATAACCTTCTGTGTGACCCTCACACTGACCTTCACTGTAACCCTACCACTCTCCTTCCATGTAATCCTGACACTAACCTTTCTGTATCACACCAACTTTCTTGTCTCCCCAACACTAATCCTTTGTGTAACCCTAACACTAATCCTTCCTGTAACCCTAACACTAATCCTCCCAGTAACCGTTACACTTATGGTCCCAGTAACCCTAACACTAATCCTCCCTGTAACCCTGACACTAATCCTCCCTGTAACCCTGACACTAATCCTCCCTGTAACCCTGACACTAATCCTCCCTGTAACCCTAACACTATTCCTTCCTGTAACCCTAACACTAATCCTCCCAGTAACCCTAACACTAATCCTCCCTGTAACCCTGACACTAATCCCCCAGTAACTCTAACACTAATCCTCCCAGTAACCCTAACACTAATCCTCCCAGTAACCCTAACACTAATCCTCCCTGTAACCCTGACACTAATCCCCCAGTAACTCTAACACTAATTCTCCCAGTAACCCTAACACTAATTCTCCCTGTATCCCTAACAGTAAAACTATAACCTGTTAAAATACTGAGGTGCCTTTTTATACCTTTTGTCTTAAATGGTCAGAATACCTAAATATATATTTGTCATTGATTTTCATCACCTCTTGTAGTTACAAAGCCTGGGAGTTCAAAGCTCAAACTGAAACTTATATGCACAAGTGACCTCATCCCCTCTAGAACAGTGAGTCCGCCCCTCCAGTACAATGACCCCCCTCCAGAACAGCGACTCTTCCCCCTACCCCAATGTTGACTCAGTCCAAAGCTTCAATCAGAGACAGAATGCCTGAAAGGAAGCAGACTGTGGTGTACTCCCCCTAGAAGGCCCATTGCATTCTGGGAATCCTGTATGGTGGCTGTCCTCTGTAAATAATGTGTGTGTATATGTATATATATATGTATATGTGTGTGTGTGTATATATATATATATATTATATATATATATACACAACACAACACAACACACACACAGTATAGTGGGTACTGAGGTCAGCCCAGGGCAGAGGTTGTACCTGCTGTTTGGCTCTCAGGTGTTTCTTCATCTGATCCATCCTGACTGTGAGAATACTTATGGTTGATTCTTTACCGTCGGACTCCTCATTAGTGGACTCTTCGTCGTCCCACCCTCCAGACGCCTCTCTGTGCAGAACACGGCTGGGCAAGTGCACTTGGTCAATCTTTTTGTGTTTTATTAATATTTTACCTTTCAGATCCTGAAAAAAAAACCCAGAGTATTAATATTTAGAGCTGCTGGTGGGTGGAGCCCAGCGCTCCGCAGGGGAGGGGCTCCTTGGCAACACAGACATTAAAGACGAACTCCACTCGAAAAGGGAAAAAATAAAGACTATGTTGAGCTGGTGAACACTGAATACAACCAGTCACCACGTTTCCTTCCTGTCCGTGGAGTGTGAGAACAATTGAGGTGCGTTCTAGAACCTGACACCCTTATAAACCAAGTGTGTATGTGACACTATAGCATGACACCTGACCACGCACAGCACATTCAACTGGATAGGGAAGGTGCAATGCATCATGGGAGTCAAACATTTCCTTGCTGGAATGGGCCTTGTCAGTGGAGAGGTCACATTTAAGTCCTCACAGGTGCGCCTGGCAGGTGGAAAGATGGGGATCATCACATGGAAGGATAGATTCCATCATCCTTTAAGGTGGCCATACACTCTACAACCATCGCAAGACCTTAGTCTTGCGATGGTTGTACAGGGATTAAAAAAACTTACGATCTGCCTATCTTGGACAGGCAGATTGCACTCTCGATCATCGCAAGCCCGTCCCCCTGAGGGGCGGGCTTCCGATGACCGCAATGCTGAACGGGCAGTGTGCGCGTGCGCACACCGGCCCGTTCGGCATTTGTCTTCCGAGCACCGTTCTAACCAGCCGAGAATCGTACGATTCCCGGCTGGTTTTCGAACATGCTGGTTCGACGGAAGACGTGCGACCGTACAGTAGAAACGGTCGCACGTCTCCGTTCACACTGCTCGATTCTCGTACGATCGCGGGATTTCCCGCGATTCTCGTACGAGAATCGAGCAGTGTATGGGCACCTTTAGAATGATTATGGGCGGAGTTCTGATATGCACACTATGGGCGATCTGGGAGTGAGCAGATGGTTCCTCCCAAAAATGAACTATGTTTGCTATCAATCTCTGAGTGAAGTGGATTGCTGGGAATATTGTGCGCAGGCTCCTGTCAGTGCACGGAATGGTAATTACTGGCCCTCCGCACACAATGAGCGCACTCAGGAGTGAAGTGGAGGGGGATTATCGCTCTCCAAGTGGCGCATATCTGTGAGCTGCAGGTGGAGCAACTAATTACTCGAAGAGGGCCGAGGAGTCATTGGGATGAAAGCGAGGGAGTCCGTCAGTGCTGGGAGATGAACGCTTCCCGTCCAGCATTACGTCCCTCATAATAGTCGGCAAGAATTGTGTGCGTGTGACGCTGACACGGCCGCCCGAATGAAAGGTTTCCAAGGACACTCCACCCAGAAATGCTATTTTGGTGGATGCTGCAGGCCGAGACCACGTCACAGTCTGATCTATCTCAGGAGGACTCTTGTAATGAGATTAATAGCAATGTCCATCATGTCTGACTCAGGACCCTACGCCGTGCGGACAGGCATGCCAGTACAGCGGACAGACATGACAGCGTCTCTCGCGGTGATATCACCTCTCAGGAAAGCAATTTGCCGCTTGTCCGGCAGCTCCGTCATAGACGGCTTGACTCGCCTGCTGAGGAAATTCTGCAGTGGCTGCAGATCGTCTCCCTCGAAAATGCCGCTTTGTCTTCATCTTTAAAGTGCACGTGAAGCCAAAACTTCATTTTTTTAGATTTGGATGGAGTGGAGAGGGATTAGAGCCCCTGTCCCGTTTTCATTGCCCCCTGTGTCCCAATTAAGGAGATTCCTCCCCGATATTTGTCCTGGTGACCGTTATCACTGAAAGTGAAAGAAAAGCCCACATTTTGGGTTGTCACCAGAACAGGGATGGATGGGAAATATTCCAATGGGGACACTGGATCTGGGGACCACCAGGGATTTCCCTCCCTCACTTTGGAGGGGTTTCCTCTCACTTCCTGTTGTGGATATTGGACAGGAAGTGAAAGGAAATCTCCCCAAAAGGATGCAGACTGCAAAAAATAAAACCTGACAGGCGTTATAACCTTTCCTTACTCTATCCAAAACTATAAAGGATTATGCAATCAGATCCCACATATGGTGCTCACATCTGATGACCTGCTGATAGGGTTGCCACGTGTCCAGGATTCACCCGGACCGTCCAGGGTTTGAATGCTGTGGCAGCAGAAACCCGGACACATGATGTCAGGCAGACAGGGGCAACCAAAATTAAGATATGGGCTACTGGCCCCCCACTGAAAATAGTCTCCACTGTGATATTTACATATGAATGGGCGGTGCTATTTACACATGAATAAGCCACGACTCATTCTCCAAAAAAAATGTCCGTGTGTCACCAGAGTGTTCTGGTTTCGCTTGAAGAAAAGGTGACAGCCCCACCTGCTGACTAGTTTAGGTTGATCTTGTGCCAGTAAAATCTTTCCAGCCCATCTGGAAACCTGGAATGTTCATCTTGAAGGGAATGTATCTCAGCTGTTTATATATTTTATTCATTTGCTGATTTTGTTATGTTTTGTACTAAAAATATATATTTGAAATCTTTTTACAGGGTCAGCGTGAGATTTTGCAAATGAGTATTTACACCTAGCTTCCAGTAGGGGGAGCTCTGGACTGCTTTGCCCTTTTATTCCAGATTGATTTTACTGCTTTGCTGTGACTAACCTATGTTGTGAGCAGAGCTCAAACTACACACGCAGCTGAGTGCTCAGAGAAAGCCCTGCACTCCAGATTTTAAGCTACGCTGACCCAGTAAGTAAACAAAGAGTGCTGTGATCTCTCTTTAGGCACGCAGGAAACTTAAAAATGAATTCCGGGCATTTTAGAAATGAACCCTTGCAGTGGGACTACCCCTGTACTGCAAGGGTTAAGTGCTCATTTTGGTCTAGGGGCCAAAATAAACAAGATACACTCACCTGATCTTTGATTCTGCGGCAGTGACCATTCAACTCCTTCCCCCCCTCCGCTCCGGCTGTCGAATGTACCTCGGTGTCCCCATGTCCAGTGTATTACACGTGAGGAAGTCAGCAGTACTTAGACCACCGGAGCCCGGGAAAGAAGAAGCTGCAGGGACGAAGCTGCAGGGACTGATCTATCAGCCAAGCGAGACCAAGGTTCAGGTGAGTGTATCTTTTTTATTTTAGACCCGACTGCTTAACCCTTGCAGTGCGGGCATAGCCGGATTTCCCACAAGGCCAACCAAGGCCCGGCCTCGGGGCAGCAGGGGTGTTGAATTCCTATCTCTCGATGCTCGGGCGGGTATTTGTTTTCTACATTTAGCCCTGCTCTGGGCAAGCAGAGCTAAATGTACAGCAGGGAAGCCGCCACTTGTTTTGTACAAGTGATTTAGTTGATGTCACCGAGATCACTTGTATGCAGCCTGCACGTCTGCCATTCTCCATGGGGGCGGTTTGGCGGGTAGGGAGGCGCATTGAGGAACCAGGCCTTGGGGCAGCAGAAAGAGTAAATCCGGCCCTGAGTGCGGGGGTAGCCCCACTGCAAGGGTTCATTTTTAACGTCTGCGTTATACATTGGTTTTACACATATTTGGCTTTTTTCTCGCTTGTGGGACCAGTGGTGGCTGACTCTCATCACCTGCCGAAACAATTACTATGGGCGGAGGTGTTACAATTTGTGTCAGCCTTGCGCAATTCCTGTACGTCACTCACCTCGGGGGACGGCAGGACTTCAGATGAATGATAAGGAAGGGAGGCGCTCAGCAGTTTGTCTCCGAGGATGTTGAGTAGGTGATGGGTCAGGACTTCCTGCTGACGAACGGAACAATGGTCCTCCAGGGACAACACCAGCGGATACTGCGACGTCTGACGAGAGAAGATGGTTAGTGGGACTGGGAATCCGAGAGATGAGAAACATTTATTATCATGA